TCAGGTCATGATCCCAGCATCCTGGGATGGAGCCTGGCATTGGGCTCCCTGCTCAGCAGGAAGCCTGCTTCTCCCTCTCCCACTCCCCCTGCTTCTATTTTTTTTTTTTTTTAAGATTTTATTTATTTGACAGACAGAGATCACAAGCAGGCAGAGAGGCAGGCAGAGAGAGAGAGGAAGCAGGCTCCCCGCTGAACAGAGAGCCCGATGCCGGGCTCGATCCCAGGACCCTGGGATCATGACCTGAGGAGAAGGCAGAGGCTTAACCCACCGAGCCATCCAGGCGCCCCTCCCCCTGCTTCTGCTCCCTCTCTTGCTATCAAAAAAATAAGTAAAATCGTTTAAAAAAATCCAGAATTAGATGGGGCTCAGAGCTAATCTTGTTAAGCCTCTCCATTTTATAAATAACAAGGCCAGAAACAACAAGAGGGTGAGAAATGAAGGGATCTGACCTCAATTATAAGTTGAACAACGGGGTGCCTGGCTGGCTCAGTTGGTAGAGCACGTGACTCCTGATCTCGGGGTTGGGGGTTCAAGGTGCCACCAGCACCAACGTTACCTCCATGGAACAGATTGGCTCGTTTATGAAATCGAGAGTAATTTAAAGAGCTGGTGCTTCTGGTCTGTGTTTATATAGGTAAGTTGCACTCCAGTTACACTAGAAACACAGTGTATGGCCTAAAAGCTGAAACACTATTTGTACAGGATGCTTTCTCTTGCCTTGCTGTACGTCCCCATACATTAAGAAATTCCAGGGAGCTGGGGATCCTCGGGGCTCAGTTGGTTAAGCCTCTGCCTTCGCTCAGGTCATGATCCCAGGGTCCTGGGATGGAGTCCCATGTCAGGTTCCTTGCTCAGTGGGAGGCTGATTCTCCCTCTGCCTCTGCGCCTCCCCATGTTTGTGCTCTCTTTCATGCACCCACGCGCGAGCTCTCAAATAAATAAATAAATAAAATCTTTTAAAAAAAATCCAGGGAGTTTTCACCTTGACAGACTTTATGGTTCTGCACATTTGTGTGTAAAAGTACAAGAGGCATGTTTTTGTAGAAGCGACAGAGCCAGCATGAGCCTGTTACATACGAAATGTCCTTCTCAAAAGTTACATCAAAAATATAGCACCAAGGTACTACAAGAATAAAATAGAGAATGAAGGCTTTGACTTTAAACACACACACACACACACACACACACACACACTCTCTCTCTCTCTCTCTGCTATCAATGAAGAAGAAAGCGCATAGTTTGAGAGTACATTACCACACGATAAGCAGTTTAAATACATTAATTCAGGGATATTCAAAACTCCACGAGAAAGGCAGTGATATCTCTGTTTTCCAGATGAACAAACCACGGCTTTCAGAGGTTGGATAACTTATCCAGGATCCACAAGTCAGTGGCAGAAGGGAGAGTCAAGACCACACATACCGGGCTGCAGAGACCTCCATTTTTCTACATCACCTACTGACAGTCCAGGTGAACAGCTAAAATGAAAACGAAGGCAGACGAACATCTGTCAATAGTTAAGCTCCAAATCAGACAGCACCAGCGTTCAGAGAGTTTAAGGACTGAGAGATGAATGCAGTAGTTGGCACGAGTCAGGTAAGAAGGAGGAAGGACTTACGTTGACTGAGAGAATGGGAGAGAATCTGAGAGGAAAGAGGTAAATTAAGTGGAAGAATAAAAGAATAAGCAAAGGGCAAAAGTAAGGCATAATTTCCTCTCTGCAAAGGGTTAAGACAAAGCTAGAAATGAAGCCACAGGCGGTTCCATGGTGTAATGGTGAGCACTCTGGACTCTGAATCAAGAAATGAAGCCACAATGGTAGGCTGAGGCTCTGAACCCAAGCCAAAGAGCCCACGGTCTCCTGAAGTCAGGATGGGGGGGAGAGCACTAAAGAAGCTGAAAAGAAGTTGGCAAGTGTCACTGCCGACACGACAAGAAAGATACAAATGGGAAGGCCTGCCATGAACGTGAAGGCATCATGGGGAACCGAGCACCATGTTATTCAAGCCAATGGGCGACTCACAGTCCCCACCTTTGGGGCCCATTTAACATGACGGTTCACTCTCTCCCCCTTGACACACCTTTCTCACTTGGCTTCCAGGACTCCTCCTCCTTGCATTGCCCTGTCAGCCTCCATTGCCGTCTCCTCTTCTCCCTGATCTGTTGGAGCCCCCCTGGGACCTTCTCCATCTACATATTCTCCTGTGGTGGGGTTCATTTAGTTGTCTTGTTTTAGATACCATCTATGTGCCAAGGACTTCCAAGTTTATATTCAAAGTCTAGGATTTTCTTCTAAATTCCGGACTCCTACCCAACTGCCCACTCCATCCCAGACCCCTGACATTTGTGGTATATCACCTACTAAAATCCTATATAATTTACTTTATTGTGTTTGCCGTTTATTTTCTTGGTCCCATTCCCTTGCTAGAATGTAAACTACTCGAGGATAGGATTCTTTGTTTTGGTCACTTGCATTTTAAGTGCCTAAAATAGTGCCTGGCTCTTGATAAGTATTTGCAGAATAAATGGATAAAGGGATGGCATAAGGCAGCCTCGAGGCAATGTAAGAACCCTCACAAGGTACTGAGAGCAAGGAAAGTGACGGTAGATGGCGGGGAGGAGGAACGTGAGTACTTCTCGGTTTACCACGTGGAACCTCAAGTGACCAGACAGGCATTTGGGTGGAAACATCTGGTAGGATTTTGGAATTCTGGGACCAGTGTTTATTATTATTTCTTCATCTGAAAAGAAGGGCGGGTTGTTTTGAGGAGTAAATAACCTAAAACTAGCAAGTCCCTGACACACGGAGATACATTTACCCAATAATTGTTTTCCTTCTCGGGGACCGTTCATTCCCTCAGCCAGGTGCCCAGGATGGCACAGACCACCTAGCTCCTGTGCACATTCCCATCCATTCCCCTGTCTACTCCAGCCATCACACTGGGTCCCCCCCGGACTCATGTAGCCCTCCCTTGTCAGCCCTCTTTGAGGACTGCCTCGCCCGGGCCACACTTCCTTCAGGGGCAGCCCTCATCCAAGGACTGACTGATCAACAGACCGATCACTGTGAGGCACTGTGAGTCCTCTCATACCTCAAAGTTTGGGAAAGCCATCCCACTTCAGAGCTCCCAGGGTTGGCTGAGCCCTGTGCCTGGACTGCCCAGCCACTCAGCGTCAGCCTCCGCTTAGTCCCTCTGCACCTCCCTCCCCTCCAGAGGTGTGGATGTGAGGGACTCATCCCTCCCAGTGAAATAACCTGCCTGCTGATCTCCATTTCAGACTCAGTTTCCTGGCAACCCAACCCGTGGCAGATAGAACATCCAACAGAGCTCTGGGATTCTTTCTCATTGAAATGCAGATTAAACCTGGGGGGACCTGGAAGGTATGGTTTGACCGGATATCCTTTTTTAGCAATAGATTTTTCTAGGTTTTTAGAATGTGATGTGGTTAGTCTGATGCCACAAATAAAGGGGGAGGAGGCCCCAAATTTAACAAAAGAATTCAGTGGGTCTGTTAAGAAGGAAAAAAAAATTATTTTTATTTTCAATAACCCCTAACTGGTATTTAGCATTTCCTTCCATTATGAATGCAGGCAACAAAGTATAGCAGTAACTCTTAATGACCTCACCACAAAGAGAAGTCCCAAATATTCGCACGTCACGTTTAGTCACGGCAAGTGTCTTCAAATATTGTTTACTGTCCAGACAATGTTGAAAATAAAGTAATTATCTGACACTCCCATTGGACACATTGTTACACCTATTTAATAACGTTAGAAATAACCACATATAGGGTGCCTGGGTGGCACAGTTGGTTAAGGGTCTGCCTTGGGCCCGGGGCATGATCTGGGAGTCCTGGGATGGAGTCCCGCATCCGGCTCCCCGCTCAGCGCAGAGGCTGGTTCTCCCTCTCCCTCTGCTCCTCCTCCGCTCCTGATTGCGCGCTCTCTCTCTCTCTCTCTCTTGCTCACTCTCTCAAATAAAAAGTAAAATCTTTTTTTTTTTTAAGTAAGCACATATATTATTACTTCAGGCACTTTTTGTTTTAATATTTTTATCTGGATTTCAACATAATGACTTCCTGGGCAATCCTGCAGATTTTAGTTTATGTAATTAAAAATATAATGGCAGGACAGACTCCAGCCGCTGTCTGTCCCCCCCTCCCCGTCTCTGGAATGCGCATCGCGTTCTATGAAATCCACATGGCGCGCGGCTGGGGAAGGCGGCGGCACGGAAGACTTCACCGAGGTGACAGCGTCCCCGGGCCCGGCCAGGGGCCCAAAGAGCTAAAGGCCACCGGGGCCCGCTCCCCGGCGGGGCCCCCCATGGTGACAACGCTCGCTACAGGAGACTGGACCTCCGGGTCGCCCTGCTTTCCCAGCCCGAAACTCTGGACTGAAACGAGCTCACCGGGGAGCGGACTCGCAGCCAGGACAGGTCCCGGGTCCGCGCGCAGACGCCGGCTCCCGCGGTCTTTCCCTGCCCCCACACCAACGCAAATCCCAGGGCCCGCGCGCCCCCCGGGACCCCGCTCCGGCCTCTGCCCTGCGAAGGCTCCGCGCCCGCGCCGGGCTCCTCCCGGGCCGCGTCCGGTCCCTGCAGGCCCAGGACGGCTGCAAGACGAGGCCCGACTTCCCGGCGGCGGTGCCGCCCACAGCTGCCGGAGGGGAGACTCCGCCCGGGGTCCCGGGGTCCCGCGATGCCTGCGTTTCCCGGTCGGGCATGGCGCGCGCGAGGCCGCGCAGATGGGGGGTCCCCACACCCGCGTGCTCCTCCGGCGGCAGCGGCCAGGCGGCGCGGAGACGTCGGCCGCCCCGGGGAGGCGGGGAGCCAGCGAGGGCCCGGAGACCCCGCGCCCCCGCGCCCCCGCCCACGACGCCCACGTCCGTCCCGCCCCGCGAGCGTCCCCGTCGGCCCCCGCCTCTCTTCCGACGGCGGCTCGGCCCCGCGCCTTCCTCCCCCGCCGCCCCCGCCGCCGGCCCCGGAGGTCACACTCACGTAGACCGAGTCGATGCCGGATTTGTCGAAGAAGCGGAGCGGCCGCCTCAGCTCCAAGGCTGGGGAGACGCGGTCGTCCCCCGCCTCCAGCTCCCGGTCCCCGTGTCCCGGGCCGAACGGGAAGAGCTCCTGGCGGCTCAGGCAGCCCCCGGGCCCCGCCAGCAGCAGCTGCAGGAGCAGCGCCCGCGTCCACGCAGCCCCGCTCCGGCGCATCGCGGCCAGCACGTTCCCGAACCGAAGTCCTGCAAAGCTGGCGGCTCCACGGGCCAGTCTGGGGAAGGCGGAGACGTAACCGGACGCCCCTCGGCAGCCCCTACGCGCCTCCCGCCTCCCGACGTCCCCACCCCAGGAACTAGGGGAGGGGAGCGAGGGGAGATGGGGAGCGCCCCGCCCCGTCCACAGGGCGCGCCGCCTAGGCTGCCCAATGGCCGCGAGGGGGAGGGCGAGGGGCGCCCCCGAATCCCCCTGCGGCTCCCGCGGCGTCGCCCTCGACCCCGCGGGGTCACGGGCGCTGGTGGCCGCGATTCCAGAAACCAGCCCGGTTGCCACGGAAGAGCAGGGCGCGGGGCTTTGCGCCACAGTCCTCGGGTCAGGGTTAAGGCAGAGGGCGGGCTGCGTGGAAATGCTCCGGATTCAGGAACACTGTCGCCCCCGGTGCTGCTGGCGGTGTCCGGAGGTCGGACTCGCTGGGTCAAACTCTGGTGGGCAGAGGGAGTAGGTGCCTGAGTGAATAAGAAGGGGCTGGACCAGGAGCCTGTTCCTTTATCCATCCCGTTTCTCAACGTTACTGAGCGCCAGATCTCTGCTTGGTGACGTGGAAGTTCGGCCAAAACATGGGGTCTCACCCTCCGAGACCAAGTCACGAGTGTGTAAGATGATGTGGTGTGAGGGGGGGTGGGGTCCCCAAGTAATAAAGGATATTAGGGCTGGAATAATGTGCCAAGGAGAGCTTCCTGGGGGATGTGGGGATCAAACCAGGTTTTCTGGAAGGGACGGAATTTCATCAGGAGGCTGGGGAAGGGGCATTCTGGAAGGTGGAGCTGTGGGTGGGTTGCCTTGAGTCAAGGCACCATCCCCCAGTTGAGAATTTGGAGAATGGCTGTTGGACGAGAAGCCTTAATACCAAACCTAGCAATCTGAACTCGCTCTAACACTCAGAGAGCCAGGATTGAGAATGCCCCGACCAAGGGAGATAAGGCACGTCAGTGGTGTCCTAACTAACGGGTTGATCATTAATTTGGCTTTGGGAAGTCCTCAGAGAGCTGTTGAAAGGGAAACAGGGGTGGGGGGCCCTGAGAAAGGAAAAAGTGGAAATTGAGAAGTATTGAACCTAAGAGCCATTACAATGAAAGAAAGACTGAGACCTGGTTATGATTTTGATATGGGGGTTAGGGAGAGAAGTTAGAATTGGGTGTAAGGTTTTAAGCCTGCAGGACTGCAACACCGGGCTGTCTTTTGAAGTCAGGGTGGACGACCAGGAACAGTGCAAGCGGGATATTCGTTTGCTGCCAGACCTCTTAACCTGGAGAGGTCAACAGGACACTTTTGCTGACTGTCACCATCTAAAATTAAGGACCTAGGACCCAATTTTGAAAGAAGTCTCCCAATAAACAGCAAATGCAATATAATATTTAAGGAGCATGAGTCCCGAACCAATAAAAAACAAAAAGCAAATGAAATCCACCCTTGAAACATAGAGTCTTTGATCAACTCTGGACGTCTTTTTCTTTTAAGTTCATTAGCCGGCATGGAAAACATTTATTAAGTTTCTGCATGTATCAATTTGTTTTGCAACCTTAATAACCCTAGGAGACAGAGACCATCCCCATTTGACTGAGGAGGGGCGTAGAGATTCAGAGAGGTTTATATCATTTTGCTAAGGTTATACAGCTGAAGCCTGCAGGTGAGCCACATGGTTCAGCTCCAGGACCACCTTAACCACTACATTCAATGGCTTTGTATTGCATTTTTTCCTTTTGTTAAAAGTGACTAATGCTGCCCTCAATCTGTTTCCTTCAACTTCCTCCCGGAATTGCAGCGCTGGGAGCCCCTGTTCCCCGCCCCAGAAGCACTTCCTGACTACTCCACGCTGTCCTGAGCTTCAACTGCCACATTTCTGGGCTTCCAGGCCCCAGCACTGCTCATTCCAATTGCCAAGGACTCTGTCTGGAGGCGCCTCTCGTCCTTTATGTTCACCTGCACACAGCGCGGGCCCAGAACACCCCTCCAGCCTCTAACGGCCTGGGCCTCAGACTCTCCTCCTTCAAACCCCCACCTTCTGCCTCACTTCAGAGCTGCTGAAGCAGAAGCTGTTGCTTGGGCCTGGAATGCTCTCACCCCCTCTCACGAATTCTCTCCGTTTTTGGTGCTCAGACAGCTTCCGAAGCTCCTATTGGCTCATGGAATTTTCCTCAGCTCATGCAAGAGTGAGAGCGGTTCTCCAGTGTCCTGGTTCAAAGCACCAAGCCCATTAGGACAAAATCCCTTTTGCGAGCAGCTCCCAGTCTATTGAAGAAGGAAGAGAGACTAACAGTAACACGGTGAGATGTTAACTCGTTTTAACAGAATTAATGCTCGTATCAGCTGCTGAGGTTAGTAACCTCAAGCAGATGTGGGGAGATGAAATTTGCAGAAGTTAGATAATGCGCCCAGTTTTGTAGTTAGTGGAAGAGCCTGGATTTGAAAGTTTTCAAATTTCACTGTACCTGAAACCAAAGCTAATAGTCTTCTGCCACACCCTTCTGACTTCCTAGAAAAGGAGAGGTTTCTCCCTCAGTTGCCAACAAGGTCTATGACTTTGTTGTTTCTACATTATGTTCATGCTCCGTTTACGTGTTCATTTATTTCATCAGAATGGTCTTGCTCAACTAAGTCTAGTAGATACTGTAAACTGTCTGCCTTTTCCTATTTATAGCCCGCACTCATTGCATGTCACTTGGGACTGGGGAATGTGACATCTACAATGTGCCTCTGACTGGGACAATGTGGCTGGATGCCAGCCACTCCTTTAGGATTTCTAGTTTTAAATACATTTAAATACAAAATCTTCATCACAGAATACTTCATTTTATGTCGTGCCCTGGTCATTTTCTAAGTGTATATAATAATTATGTGTTTTTCTGTAGTTGTTTCATGTGCCCCCCCCCACCATAAGCTCTTTGGGGGAAGGCTCACATGTTCTGTTCTTTTCCAGAGTTCACAGAACCCCATCTAATGCTGTGTTCACATTGATAAAAGTTAATAGTTTGAAAACTCAGTAGTACTTTTAAAAGACATTTGATATCTGGTGTAGCATGACACCAGGGGTTTTTAAAATTATCTTTTATTAAACCCAGCACTTGAGAGACTCGTACTTTTTCACTGAGTGCTATCTTCCGGGTGAGACAGGAAGACAAAATTCAGGAAGCAGGCTATATCTATAAGTTAAACTTTCTGTGTGCTTTATTCAGACAAAAGTCCAGGCAACTGAGTGGGGAAATAGCTCAACTAGCTATTTCACTGAAAAAGACATCTGTTGTAATCTCATTCTCCTGTGAGCTTTGGCCACTGACCACATATGGTCACGGAGGATTCCTTTGTTTACTAGATGTTATGTAGAAATAAATTTGTTAGTGTTCCAATTCCAGGGAAATTCACCTAATTTGTGAGTAAGATGATCACTATTTTAAACAATTTAACCTCAATTCTTATCTCAGATAAAGATGACATAAAAGAAATAACCATCCTCTAACAAAGGAAGACAATGATATAGTTACAATTATCTGTAACTATATCAGGTTCCAAAACGATGTTCATTGCAAGGCGATATCATAGGAAACTCTTAGGAGATTGATCAAAAAGTTTGTATTTATGGCTTCTCAGCTCCTATTCTTAATTATCACTTTCTAACAATGGATTTTCATATGATAATCACTTTTCCCCAACCTTTATTGAGGTAAAATTGGCAAATAAAAATCGTATACATTTAAGGTGTACAGTGTAATGATTTGACATACAAAGGGGAAATGATTACCCAAACTGAGGTAATTAACACATCTATCATTTCACAGTTACCCTTTTTTGTGTGTGCAATGAGAACACTACTATCTACTATCTTAGTGGGTTGCCTGGATGGCTGTTGGTTAAACATCTGACTCTTGGTCTCATCTCTGGTCTTACTTCAGCATCTTGAGTTCATGCCCCCTTCATGCCCAGCATGAAGCCTACTTACACACACACACACACACACACACACACACACACACATACAATACAGCATTATTAACTCCTGTCACCTTGCGGTACATTATGTCCCCAGAATTTATCTTATAAACTGAAATTTTGTGCCTTTTGACCAACACTTTCCCATTTCCTCCACTCTCCAGGCCCTGGCAACCACCATTCTACTCTCCCTGTATGAAAGAATAGCAAAGATTTTTGATATTGTAACCCATATTCATTTTAAAGGCCTCACATGAATTTTCATTGAAAATAATACTGATTTAGCCACAGCAATTAGACAAGAAAAACAAATTAGAGGCATCCATATTGGTAGAGAAGTTAAACTGCCACTATTTGCTGACAACATGATGCTATATAGAAGACTCCACCAAAAAACTACTAGAACCGATAAATTAATTCAGTAAAGTCACAGGATACAAAATAAATATACAGAAATCTGTTGCACTTTTATACACTAATAATGCAGTAGCAGAAAGAAGAATTTAAAAACAATACCATTTACTCTTGCACCAAAAGGAATAAAATACCTAGGAATAAACTTACCCAGATGTGAAAGACCTATATGCTGAAAATTATGAAACACTGATGAAAGAAACTGAAGGTGACAAAAACAATGGAGAAATACTCCATACTCGTGGACTGAGAGACTCAATAATGCTAAAATGTCCATATTACCCAAAGCGATCTACAGGTTCAATGCAACCCCTATCAAAATACCAACAGCATTTTTCACAGAATTAGAACAACAACAACAAATCCTAAACCTGTATGGAACCACAAAAGACCCTGAGTAGTCAAGAACTCCTCAGAAAGAAAAACAAAACTGGAGGTATCACAATACCAGGTTTCAACATACACTACAACGCTGTCATAATGAAAACAAGAGGGTGTGGACACAAATATAGACATAAAGATCAATGGGACAGAAAAGAAAGCCCAGAAATAAAGCCCACAACTATGTGATTATTATCACAATTAATCTATGACAAAGGAGTCAAGAATATAGAATGGAGAAAATATAATCTCTTCAATAAATAGGGCTGGGAA